GTACTTCTAGAGGTAATTTCTTTTGTTCAATGGAGTAAACAGAGGTGTGATTTTTTTTTTTAAGGAGACTATACTGAAGGAAATGCTCGTATGTCTAAGTTCTGATATGCTTTCTTCTCCCTATTCAAAACTTCTACAACTCTCTTCCTCAATTACTATGAATAAAATGTCCACAGTCTTATCTAAGGCCAGTCCCTCCACTTGAGCACTAGACTCCATCCTCACTTAAAGACCTCATTCCTGCAAGTCCCTTTTCTCTGCAGTGACAAATATGATGTGATATTTCTATCCTACATCCTTTTCCAGCTTAGACAGCTCACTGTTCCCTTAAGCTATACTCCAAGAAAGAGCTGTCTTACAATGTCTCCACTTTTGGTTCTTCTCTTTCTTTCTTCCATCTACTCTAATCACACAGTTGTTCCTGTCACTTTACTGAGGTTACTCTTATCAAAGTCTTCATATTTCTAAATCTAACAGTAAATGCTGAATTCCCATTTTATTCTATCAAAAATATGACTATATTTTACCCTAATTTTGGAACATTCTTTTTCTACTCCACTACCAGAACTCAATTTTCCTCACTGGCTGCTGAATCTTAGCCTCCCATGCCACACCCTCCCCTTTTCTTAAACACTGGAGTGCCCAAAAGCCTTGTGCTCACTTTTCTTCTCTGTGCTAATTTTAAATAGAAGTAAAACTAAATAACATGGAAATTACAGACTGCAAGACAAAATGGAAGTATTATAAACATTGACAATGTAAAAATAATAGTTATATTACTAGGAGATGGAAAAGAGAAGGAAAGAAGGGGGAATGAATGTTATCTCCTTTCACAGGGGGAATCTAAAAATAATTCTAAATTGCTAATGTTTTGTTTTCTCTATATAAATATTTAATGTAAGAGAAGTCTTTAAGAAACAATCTCATGATCAAAAAATGAAAATTAGAATATTAAACATATTAAATTACACATATACACATATGCTAATGTTCAGCAACTGGTTTTTCTTCTATTAAGTAAATTTAAATTCAATCTTTTTAAAATTAAAATGGCATGTGTATTAGTAAGGAATTAATCACAACATAATAGAAACCATTCTATTTTAAGCAGAAAAAGATTAGGACAAGGAATTAGATAAGGACTTGAGGGTAAGTCTCTAAAAATGACTCCTCGAACACGGCAAAACTGGTCAGACACTTTCCAAAGGCTGGCTCCAAACACACATTAGCTATTGCTAATATTGTTGGATCGTTACTGTCTCTCAAAATCTCATGTGTTAAAGACTTGTTCCCCAAGATACTGCTAAGAGGCAGTGGAACCTTTGAGAGGTGGGGCCTTGTAGGAAGTCCTTTAGGTCATTGTGAGTGTGCCCCAGAAGGGGACTGTAGAACTCCAGTCTTTTTCCTTTTTCTCTTCGATCCATGGCTCCAACAGACTGGAAACTCCAAAACTGTGAGCCAAAATAAACCTACCTTCTTTATAAGTTTTATCTCACATGTTTTGTTAATAGTGACAGAAAGTTGACTAACACAGCTATAATTCGGGGATTACAGAATTGTGTTTGTTCAATTCAAACCATCAAAATGGATGCCTTGAATAGTACCACCTCTCTTCATTTAACTCAGTATCAAATCCAGGAAATGAAAGTATATTTGATTTAGCAGAATTTGGTTGGTGAAACCTAAAATCATACCTAGAATTCTAGTTGCAAAGAATTCTGAGAACTGTACTTTTTTTTAGCTTTGTTAACTATAAAAAATATACAGCTCATGTATGAAAATGGAAAAATGAGACCTGGTGGAACTATTCTAAGAATGAGGGGAAGAGTTGATAAAGGAGAATGATGGAAAGAGTGAACGGAACTAAGATATAGTTTAAGTACTTTTGTAAATGTCACAAAATGTACCCCTAGTACAATAAAGATATGATAGTAAAAAAAGAAAAATGTGTCTCCAAAATAGATGTCAAATCATTCTATTTCTATGTCCACTATTACAATATACCCCAACCACCTTTTCCATCTCACATCTGGACTACTGTCTCCCTGCTCTGTAAATAAAACCTATATACCTTATCATGGTCTATAATGTTCCACAAGATATATATTCTTTATCCTACATCTCTGACTAATCTCTTACCCTTCTCCTCATTGATCGTTAGATGCTCTGAGCACAGAAGAAATATAGAAGTACAGAATTTGCTCCCATTTTTTGTGTCCTTATTCAATTGTCACCTTATTAGAAATGACCAACCTATTTAAAATAACATCAACCTCTAATAACTCCTATCTTTACCTTCCTCAACAGCATCAGATACCATGTCAATTAAAACCATGAGATACCATTACACTTTCACCAGAATTACTCCAAGTTAAAAGACTCACCCAAACAATTTTTAAATAGGAGAAATAGCAAGGCCCCACTGGTTTATGCCTATAATCCTAGCTACTTTGGAGGCAGAAATCAGGTGGATTGTGTTCAAAGTCAGTTCCAGGAAAATAGTGCACAAGACCCTATCTTGAAAATACCCAACACACCCAAAAAAAGGCCTGGTAGAGTGGCTCAAGTGGTAGAGCACCTGAATGGTAAGCATGAGACCTTGAGTTCAAGCCCCATTGCCTCCACAAAAAAAAAAAATGGAGAAATAAAGTCAAAAGCTTACCCTTTCTGACTGGATGCTAAATGTAAAGCTACAGTAATCAAGATGGTGATGTACTGGCATAAAAAGCTGACACTCAAGTGATGAATGGAATAAATGGAACAGAATACAAAGACCTAGAAACAGACTTACATATACATAACCATTTCGTTTTCCAAAAAGGAAGCAGTTTAATAAAGAAAACTCTGCTCAGTGAATTTGAAAAACTTTCAAAACAAACTAAACAAAGATTAACTTCAACTGTACACAAAAATTCAAGATGGAACAGAGACCAAAATAAAAAATAAACAAGCTTACAGAGAAAAACAAAGAATATTTTTGTGACCTAAAGGTACGTAAACGTTTCTTAGACAATCACAGAATGCAAAAACCATAAAAAGAAAAAAAAAATACTAGTCTTCATTAAAATTAGAAGCATTTATTTATCAAAAGATACTACCATGGGACTGAAGACATGACTCAAGTGGAAGAGTGCTTGCCTAGCAAGCATAAGGCCCTGAGTCCTGAGTTCAATCCCCAGTTCTGCCAAAAAACAGAAAAAGGAAGATACTACTATGAAAATGAAGATGCGAACAGCAGACCTGAAAAAAAAAATTTGACAAAGGACTGGTATGCAGGATGTGTAAGAAACTGGTACAACTCAACAGTTGCCAGACAACCCAAGTTTTAAAAAAGGCAAAAGATCTGAAAATATATTTCACAAAAAAATAAGGTTAAAAAGTGCTCATTTTTTTATTAGTCATCAAAGAAATGCAAATTAAAACCATAGTCAGAGGCAATTACAATTTAAAAGACTGACAACAGCAAAGGATATGGCATAACTAAACCTTTTATAAATTACTGATGACAATGTAAAGTAGTCTATCTATTTTGTAAAGCAATTTGGTAATTTCCTGAAAAGTTTAAACACTGATCTGTCACATGATTCATTATATACTTCTAGGTAGTAACCTAAGAGAAATGAAAGCATGTGTCCAAACAAAGATTAATCCATACTAACTTTATTTGTGATAACTAATATCTGGAAATAAGTCAAATGCCTATTAATAGATGAATAGATATACTATAAAATAATGTAACATTACTCCACAATGAAAAAGCATTATCTATTGATCATATAACATGAATGTTATGGTTTAGATATATCTCCAGTAACCATGTATTAGAAACTTAGTTCAGTTAATGGTATTTGGAGGTGGATCTCTTGGGAGCTACTTAGGATTAGATGAGGTCATGAGGTTGGGCTTCTCATGACGCAACTAATAGCTTTGTAAGGTGAGGAAGAAGAGACCCAAATTAGCAAGCTTGCTCTGCCTTATTATTATTGGGACTCTGTAGAATTCCTCTAACCAAGAAGGCCCTCATTGGATTTGGCAACTTGACTTTGGACCGTCTAGCCTCTAGAACCCTGAGCTAAATAAATCTCTTTTCTTTAGCACATAGCCTGTGGTATTTAGTTATAGCAATACAAAACAGACTAAGATAAATGAGAAATCTTACATTATGTGGTATGAAAGGAAGCCAGGCAAATGTACATAACTGTATGATTCCATTTACATAAAATTCTGGAAAATACAAACAAACCTACAGTAATAAAAGGCAGGTCAATAGTTGAAAGGAATTACAAATGGGTATGAAGCAACTTTTGAGAGCTTGTTTGGAGGTTCTAGCAAGGGAGTGCAGCTAATCTCATACCCTTGACCAGAGAACAGTCTTCTTCTATTGGGGATAATCATCCTCATTGACTGAGTGAGTGCCCAGCTTCAGGAGGGATGCACATGGAGCAATGAAGGAGGAAGGGCACACCCACCTAGCCAGCCAGGTCAGCCAAATCAACCCTGGCGATCAATGGGGTGATAGATGTCGCAGCCAGATTGCCTTCAGATCCAATGAAGCAACTTGGAGCGATAGGTATGTTCACTATCGTCACTGTGGTGATGCTTTCATGAGTGTGTATGTAACATACATACATATATATATGTATATATATATATGTGTATATATATAAATATATATATACACATATGTTAAGACATCAAATTGTATATTATATGTATTTCTTAAAACTAAGATATGCTATTAAATAAAAAGAGGAATTTCTTCCTAAAAGTTTTGTAGGTTGTTTTCATCCTAATTTTAAAAACTTATAAAACATTAATAAAATGCTTTTAATAATGACACATTCTGTCATCAGTGTTTTAATTTTTTGGTGGCACTGGGATTTGAATTCAGGGCTTCAGCAGGCTTGAGCCAAGCCTCTAGCATGGTTCAATGTTTTAATAAATGAAACATAAAAAATGACTTACAGCAACTAATGTATTTAAAGTAATTGATATATTACCTGGCCACATCCAGGGGCAGTGCATAGAAAGGGTTTGTCATCACTCATATTCCACAGGTCCTTATGTTGCCTACAATAAAACACAAAGAAATGGTGTTATATATGTACATATATATAATACACACACACACTTTTTTTTTTTGATGCAAGTTTCACTTTGTAGCCCAAGCGGACCTCAAACTCAAGATCCCCTTGCCTCTATGTCCCCAGTGTTGGGATTTGTGCTAACATGCCTGGCATACAGTATATATTTTTAAGTAAATAATATTTAAATATAAATCTCAAGATTTGATTTCCTCTGAGCTTACTAACTTTTCTGAGTATGAAATAAAACACTTCTGCTGACATTTTAACCCAACCTTCCACCTTATTATTATGACAGTAGACAAATATATGTAACATGCAGAATTTACACCATAGAAAAAAAGGTTAGGAACACTGCTATTAGAGGAAATTTGCTCATTAGAGGAAATTTGCTATTAGAGGAAATTTGCTCATTTCACCATTTCCTATTCAAGAGGAATGGTGAAATGAGCAAATTTCATTCACTCAAAAACTTAAATGAGCAAATACTAAGCAGTCTTTCAAGGTTCATACTGTAAAGTTATGGAAATAGTGCAGCAAGATTTCTGCCTCCAGTCCTAAATTCTTGTAGAATATTTTTATCTACTGTCTAAACATGTCTATTTTGATATTCCTCCAAAGCATCATTTGTCTAAAAAAAAAAAAATCTCTTAAATATCTTCTTAAAGTTAGCCCTTTTTTCATGTGTATAAAATGCTATGGAAGACTCTTCAAAGGGAAACACAAAAATAAAAGAGAAACAGGTCTTGGCCTATGGGGCTGTCTTCTACCAGTAAAGGAGATAACATGGTACAGTCCATGAGGGATAGGTTCTAGGTCTCCTTGCAGATATTGATGCCCAAGTCCTTTATATAAAGTGGTGTAGCATTTGCAAATAATGCAAGCAATCCTTTTGTGTATTTGAAATCATTGTTAGATTACTTCTACTACCTGATACAACGGAAATGCTATGTAAAATAGTTGTGTTTTTGTTTTGTTTTACTGTATTATTTAGGTCTCTGGTTGATTGAATTAGAGGGTGCCTCTTTATTTCTAACTCTGATCTCTTTCTAAATCTGTTTCTTTCTTTTTGTTAGTGGTATAACTAGAATCAAATCCTAATATTCTGAGTCAACGTTCAAAGCTCTTTGCCAGTACTTTATGCTGTTTGCTCCTAATGCGTCAAAACTTTTGATAAAAGATTGATATTCCTTTTTAGGAAATCCATGCTGGTTCACAGTATAAACACTGCTTTATGTTTTAAGCATGTAATCAATGATCTTTGAGAATATAAAAGGGATCTAGGTAGTCATAATTTGTCTTATTTATAAAATTTGTGAAATATGTAAACAAAATTTTGATTGCTTTATCCATTGTAAACAGCCTATGAAGCGCATGACACTGTACTAATAGGTATAGGATGACATTTGGGGAAAAACTGGTCTATATCTCTTGGTATCTAGTACACAGGAAAAGCTTGGAAGTCACCACTTCAGTCCCACAATAATGTAAAAAAGCTAAACAAACTGAAAATCAACTCTTATAAACAGAAGAGAATTAGGATCGAAGAACAAACTACTGCCCTGAAAAGAAGAGACAAGGGCAGATACTACTAAGAGTCAAGTTTATTGGAACGAGAAGCCTGCGGAAGGAGCCAGTACTGGATAGAAACTGTAACTGACTTATTGCCGGAGTCTCAGTGTAGACTAGTTTGAGAAGTGAAAATTCCTGGAGCACACCTGCAATCTCAGTACTAGGGAGGACAAGGCAGAAAGATCATGAGTTCTACGCTAGCCTGAGCATTACTTATAGACAATGAGGCACTGTCTCAAAAATAAGGGGGTTGTAAATTTAGTGGTGAGCACTTGCCCAGCATGTACAAGGCCCTGGTTAAATCCCTAGCACTGCAAACAAAAACAAAAGCAAAACAAAACAAAAAACCTTACAGTTTTGTCTTCTTTCTAGAAATTATATAGTATCTGTATTTGATTTAATTGTTCTCTAACATCTAATTATAGAAAAAAGGTGTATGACCAAAAAAATTTAGGAAGTGCTGAAATGTATTTTTTGTAGGACTTTTCAGAGCCTTAATATGCTCTAGTGAAATGTCTAGTACACCCAGAATATGGCATTTTGATCACAGTTATTTTCTATTTCAATACTTTTTTCAAAGAACATCACCTTGGACTAGTATTATCTAGAACTCATTTAAGAAGAAATCATAACCTTAAAAGCATGTTTATCATAGTTATGTATTTTTCATACTTTAACTTGATAATAAAAAAACAGTGAGTATTAGCTAAATTAGACACTAATAAGTGGATTTTTACTTATGGGAAAAACACTGAAATATTTATCTAGTAGAAAGAAACCTAAGAAAATTTCTATAACCTAAAATATGAAAAATGGTGGAAAAACTAACTATTGTGCGCACATACCTGGCAGAATTCACATGTAACTTGAATTTCATAAGTTGGACAACCTATCACATCCTCCTTTTCATGGCAAGGATACTGAAAAACAAAATGGTTTCAATACTGTTAAAGATAACTTTAATTCTCCCACAACTTTACCGTTTGCTTATTTGATATTAGCTTAAAGACAAGTACAGCATATTGAAACTAGCCAGGTCAGTGCCCCATTTTTAAACTCTGCCAATACTTCATCTTATTTCACTGAAACCTATCTAGTGGTAAATAAATTATATCCTTATCCAAATTAGTCAATAATGCATAGAGGAAAATTGTATTTTTCATAATTTTGCTTATAAATGTGGTTTTGAGACCATCTTAGAAAAACTGGGTAATTCTTGTGCAGAAATGTGTAACTGGCTATAGTTCTGGAGTAAAGGTCAACCGTGGATAAGAGACAGGAAGAAGAAAGTTTCTTCCCCTTCCCTATACAAACCTGTATCTTGTAGGGCTCCATTTCTCCATTCACACCCACCTTTTCATTGCTGCCTGGGAGGAGTGGGAAAAGAACAGTAGAAGAATCCAAAGGAAATCTGTGATAGTCATGGTTTTGTTGTTACCAGAAGAATATGAGCTCAGTGAAGGCAATGAACTTATCTTAGGGTTAACTGCCTAAAACTGTTAAATTCAAGAATCATTAGCTATATATAGACACAAAGATGAAAAATAACAACAAACAGTTGTCTTCCTGAACTTGAAAAACTTTAGGCCAGCAGAGTGGCTCAAAGTGGCAATAGTGCCTACCTAGCAAGTGTGAGGGTCTGAGTTCAAACTTCAGTGCCGCCAAAAAAAGAAGAGAGAGAAAAAGAGAAAGAAACTTTTAGTCTACCAGAAGAAAGGAGAATATAGAAGTATAACTTCGATTAATTTGTAACAATATAAAGAAACTAAAATACTGTAGGAATACAAGCTGGACTCGGTGGCATGTGCCTATACTTCTAAAATACTCGGGAGGCTGAGGCAGGAGGATTGTTGAGCCCAGGAGTTTGAGGCTAGCCTCGGTAACACAGGGAAACTCTAAAAAAGCAAAAATAATAAAACAAACAAAAAAACTATTGAAAGTACAGAAGTAGGATAAGGACCTGATAGTTCTAGAGGAACTACTGAGGGACTTATCCCTTGCAATGTCTTGCTAACCTTCTCTTCTCTCCCACCACAACCTTTCTTGCTACACTGCAAACTAAGTTCCTTAAGTACACAGCCTATTTCCTAGCCACTCACACAAATTCCTGTTCCCTTATTATCATTTTCTAATACCTTGCTGAGGTAGCTATAAATGTTAACAGTTCAAGCACCTTGAGACATAAATGATAACAATTCTTCTGGGAAGCTTAAGTGTTATCTCTGATAATCAAACTGAGTCTCAAGCCTCTACATTCTGGATTATCTTCTTTTCACAGCAAGAGTGAAATATGCTCATAACAGAAGCTTGCAAGGAGGCTTTGTTACACTATACATTGTTGGAGAAGTAAATGGCTACAGATAGAAAGTGTTAATAAGCCATCTACAACCTACACTGCTATGAAAATTATTATCATAAAAAGTACCCAAGATGGTTGTAGGTAAATTTTTAAAGAGGTCAGCTTGGTATTCTTATTTCTCTTAACTTTTTAAACACTCTGTTACCTTCCTTTCTCTCATGATCTAGTGGCCTCAGAAGTCCCCCTTTCTTCTATCAAAAATATCAGAGTGTCTACTTTGTGCCTGGCATTATGCTAGATGCTAGGGATGTAGTGATAAATTAAGATCAGTACCTTCCTTCATGGAGCTTCCAGGATAGTGATGGTGCTTATTTAGACTTGCCAATCAAGCATCTAATTCAGACCAATCTTGTCCTTCGACTCCTAACTAAAAATCAAAACAACTCCTGAATCCTTCAAAGACAAACCTGATTATCTACCTAGCAAACCTTACTAGTTTCAACTATTTAGTTTTGAGAGATAAAATCTGAGCTGCCTTTTCTTTCTAATCTCACCTCCTGCTAAGTGCTATATTTAACAGTACTGCCTGCCACGCTATCAATTTGTACATTCTCTTCCCTCTATCTGAAATATATCTTCCCAGGTGAATGTCTGCCTTCTTTATATAATTAAGGCAAAGTTCAAATAACACTTTCTTTACCACACCTTTCCCATCACCCAAATTGAAACAGTCTTTTACGAGGCTTTCTGTGTTGTGTATGCTTTGCTTATAGCACCCATATTAGGTTTTGGAATATAATGTACTTCATGATCTGCATACTTTATCCATTGCATCTCAAATACACTTTAAAGAATCATAGCATAGCAAAATTGACTCAAAGCATGGTTGTGTCACTCTTGTGCAAAGTTGTAAACCAATTTGAGCTCCAATTTCCCTAACTAAAAAATAGGGGTAACAGCACTTACCTACCTCACAAAATTGTTGCACACACTACAAATACGACATGCAATGCACCTAGTACAATGCTAAGCACATATGAACACCTGATAAAATGGCAGCTGCAACTGTGACTACTATTATAATAGTATAAGGGTGTCTAGTATCCTCTTATCTACACAGGATCTCACTTGATTACATCAAGAACAAAGTGATGGTGAGCTATTAACCCAAAAGAAACCACAACTTGGGGAGAGGGAGGGATGCCAGTGGTTCATACTTATAATCTCAGCTACTCAAGAAGTAGGGATCAGGAAGATTGTGGCTCTAAGCCAGCCCAGGCAAATGATTCCTGAGACCCTATCTTGAAAATACACAACACAAATGAGGACTAGCAGAATGGCACAAACAGTAAGAGTGCCTGCCTAGCAGCATAAGGCCTTCAGTTCAAACCCCAGTACTGTCAAAAACAAACAAACAAAAAAACAAAAAACCTACAACTTGCAAAAGTTTAAGTTCACATTTACTCCTTACATAAGTAAAAACTCTGGATCCTCAAAAAAGGCTCCAACCCTCTATGCTCTAAAATTTTATTTTATTTTAGAGACTAAAATTATTTAATCAGAATATGCAAAATAATTTAAAATTTTTATATGGTTACAAAAGGTTTTGTATTTCTTTTATTATTATTATTTGTTTATTCATATGTGCATATGTTGTTTGGGGCATTTCTCCCCCCATCCCCTGGCCCCCTCCCTCTCCCCCCCCAGTCCCCCTTGCTTCCAGGAAGAATCTGTTCTGCCCTTATCTCTTAATTTTGTTGAAGAGAAAGTATAAGCAATAATAAGAAAGACAAAGCATTTTGCTAGGTGAGATAAGGACAGAGAAATTCCTAGCATTGCTTCCATGTACAAATGTGTTACATCCCAAGTTGATTCATCTCTAACTGACCTTTTCACTAGTTCCTGATCCCCTTCTCATGTTAACCTCTGTCACTTTAAGGTTTCTGTATGAGTTCCTCTGCGGTGGGGACATCAAATACTATCATGTTTTGGGTTTCTTATCTATCCCCATACCTCCTGTGTGTGCTCTCCCCTTATCGTGTGACCCAACTCCAACCACACTGCTGTATTTGCCCTACATCTAAAGTCCACATATGAGGGAGAACATACAATTTCAGGTCTTCTGAGCCTGGCTAACCTCATTCAGAATTATGTTCTCCAGTTCCATCCATTTACTTGCTAATGATAAGATTTCATTCTTCTTCATGGCTGAGTAAAATTCCATTGTGTATAAATACTACATTTTCTTAATCCATTCATCAGTAGTGGGGCATCTTGGCTGTTTCCATAACTTGGCTATTGTGAATCGCTTTGTAATAAACATGGGTGTGCAGGTGCCTCTGGAGTAACCTGTGTTGCATTCCTTTGGGTATATCCCCAGGAGTGGAATTGCTGGATCATATGGCAGATCTATGTTTAGATTTTTAAGAAGCCTCCAAATTTTTTTCCAGAGTGGTTGCACTAGCTTGCATTCCCACCATATGCTCTAAAATTTTAAAGGAATAGATGGTATTAAATACCTTCATCTTTTTAACTGGGAAAGGGTGATCAGATGATTTTCATTAAAGAGACTAGACAACTAAATTTGGATAATTTAAAGTTCAAGTATTATGAAAGATCCAAAACATGACTATCACATTTCTTAGAAAACTATAAATACTGTCATTCCAATGCTGGCGAAGACACCAGTGCCTTGTGTAGAGGACAGAGATTAGCTACACCAGGTATCAGAGAACAAAGATAGTTACTCTAAGATTCTTTAATGTTTACAAGGTGTTGAGGCCTTGGTGTGTGAGGTAGAAAACAGAACACTAATCCTGCAGCTTCTAAAAATATAGCAAAATGCCATCTGTATACAGCAGCACCAGAAGAAACACGCTGGTATTTTTTAAAGCACAGTTTCCATCTGACCTTGAGTGATACATCACTTTTCAACCAATCACTATGAAGTTTGGTAAATGGAATAATAGTATTTTTACTATTTATTTTTATTATTTATTTTTATTTTGAGAATAAATTGAAAATATTGTTTAAAAATAAGATCAATGACTTGCCTACAATAAGCACTCAAATGGCAGCTGTTGCTATTCCTTTAAAAACACAGTAAGAGTTAGAGATAGCTTAGAGGATCAAAGTGACACTACCTCCTAAAGGCTTAACAGAGGCGCTGCTTACCCAGACTAGCAATAACTCAGAAAGGCAGTACTTTATGCAAACTTACCTAATGAAAACATACAGTAGGGCTAGTGGCATAGCTCAAGTGGTAGAGTGCCTGCCTAGCAAGCATGAAGCCCTGACTTCAAGTCTCAGTACCAAATATATTTTCAAGTGAAAAGATTTCACAACCATAGAGAAATAATTTTTCCATACTGAGCACTCCCTAACACTTTTCTAAGTAATTTACATATCCTATGTACTTGTTCTCTAAAAACTCCACAAGGAGTGCTTTAATCATCTCAATTCTACTGAGGAAGAAACTGTGGTTTGTGTTAGGCAAGGCCTCATGATCTTAAGTAGAGCTAGAGCTATGCTGTATTAACCAATACTACTACCACTAGAGTAAACTGATGAAGTATCTTAATTTGTAAGCATGAAGTAAACTGAGGGTTAAAGCAAAATGCC